CCAGGGGAGATTACACCCGTGGCTGAGAATGAACAGAATTCCTGCAATGCCACCTGTTTGAGACTTTGTGATCCGTATATCTTCATTTAGGTGAAAATACTTGAAGATATGAAAAATCGCAATTCTCAAAGTTTTCGTCTGACTCATTACACAAGTATTTGACCTAATTTTCCACTTTTGTTCTCCAGAACTAGTCCCTGGTTGAGAATGTAAAGAATTCTTGCAATACCGACCGAAAAACAGGATTTGTTTCTCTCTCCAAAACAACAACTAACTTTACTTCGCAACTGGCCGGGCCGCACACATGGTGTACATGTACTGTATGTAGTGCATGCGGCGCGCGGCGCACTTTCGCTTGACATGACCTGACTTGTTGCACAGCGGCTGGCGCTGGAACGCTCAGCGCACTTATACTTCAGATTTTGCGATTTATTTTAGGGCAATGGCTTCCTTTATCAGTTGGCTACCTACGATGTATACTTTAGAAAGCGATATTCCGTACCGAAAGTCCGAAAAAATCCAAGAAAGGTTGGCATTTCGATTTTTTGAACTGGAGGTAAAAATCGCCTGGTACTGGGGGGCCGCACAGCTCAGCTGACAGCCTGGCATTGAGTGCCTTGTCACTTGAGCAGTCAGCTGGAAGTGAAAGGGTTGAACAACATAGTGAGGAGGTGGAATGCACTTCCAACCTGTCACCGTCAAGCTAGTCTCTTTCGGAATTTCTAACAAGCACAAGGTTGTGCTATCTGGAGGATGATGTAACACACCATGCATTCACAAACCATAGTCCGTACTAACAATAGCTAAAAAGGTAGAAGAGGACGTTGAAAAATGGCTAAATCATAGTTTTAACTATGTGTTTCATGCAGAAAGCAATAGTTTGGCAAGCCCCAGTCAACAAACACAACCTTTATATGCCAACGTACCACAAAAGAACTTGTTCCCCGCGCATTGCACGCGTCGATGTCCTTGCGCGCCGCAATGAGCAGCTCGACCAGACGATGCACACCACCACACTCCCGTACAGCAGTGTGGTTGGCCGGGCACAGCGCTAGGTTACGGAGCAGCCCAAGAACAGCCTGGGCACACACAACCGACACCAAAACGAAACGTGTGGAGACACATGTTTGAAACAGGTTTTTTTTACATAGAATGGCACAACTCTTCTATAGCTTTGTCATGTTGGTTAACCTTACGTCTACAGGACGCTGCGGCACCAAGTCCTTGGCTACACAAAAGAAAGAAAAAATACCTGTCCAACTCTCTCCAAATCTTTCCAAATTTTCGCCTAAAAGGGCATCGTCAGGGATTGCTCCATGTAGTATTTGTCACTAGGGCACTGATTATAGGTCTTTTTACAACGCACTCGTGAAATGAAGCTGGCTGAAAAAAAGGAGGCTGTATGCCACTAGATGTTGCAAAAGAGACAATGTAGATCATGCAGGGCAGAAAAAGAGGAAAGGAGAGCGAATACCAAGATACACTGCAAACGGCTAGTTTCTATTGGACGTGTTTTCAATTGTGGCTGGAGGTAACACGGAACAGAAGTTCTCCCACTAGTATGCAGTTAGCTACAGGGCGCATGGCAGCTGGGGAAAGTAAGCACGAAGAAAAGTAAGGGAAATGAGGACCTAACATAACCGACACAATGCACCGAAACTAACCTTGATCAGAGGCCACTTGGACGGTGGATCAAGCAGTCGCACCAACACTCGTACACCATGGTGATGTCGAACGGCATTCTGCGCCACCTCAGCCTCCAGGTGACGATTGGTCAGGTGACGCAGCGCGCACACGGCCGGCTCCGTGATGTCATCATGATCGCCAGCCTGGGCGCAAGTACGGATCAGAGCCTCGATGCCTCCCTCCCGACACACCGTCACCTAGAGAAAGACAGATGATGTATTTTTCGTTATTGCCATGAATCACAGTAACAGTTGGGACGTCCGACTTGAAGACACACTTCCATGCCGCATATTATTGTCAATACAGCCCAACATTGAATGAAGTTATGAAAATCAAAGGCACTCATGGTACTGATGCTGTTCATAAACTTATTCAAACAATTGTCTCCATGCAGAACAACAGCATTGTCAGATGAGACAATAGTGTAAACAGGAATAGAGCCTGGTGCACAGACAGCAGCAGGAGTAGATACAAACACAGTATCATGCCGATTTCCTGTCAACCATTGAGATCATAATAGAGCCTCGTACGCGCAGTAGTAGAACTTATTATTTGAATAGGGGAGTCCCAACAGGCATGGCCTTGTTACAGGGAACCCTAGGTGAATCTTTGCGAGGTGAGCAAAAGTACCAGCAGATTATGCCTGACGACAGTTTGGAGGAAGAGCGTTTCACCGACCTGCCGCCAGAAAAGAAACTGAGCGCAGTCCATACCCAACATGTACAGAAGGTAATACAAAGGCAGCTGTATCCTGGCCACGAGTACGAGCATTTCTGTGCGGGCCAACGGAGCATTGTCTTGCTACCGTGCATATTATTTCAACACTACATACCTTGTTCTGCTCGTTGTTACAGGTCAGGTTGGAGAGGATTCCGGCAGCGCATGTTACCGTAGTGGCATCCTCGCTGGCCAGCAGATCAATCAGCGAGTGAAGTAGATCCCCCATGCCGGGTAGAGTGGTAGCCTGATCGGAGAGGTTGCGCATCGCCCACAGGACGTTCTGCACAAAGCGCTGACTCTTGTGTTCCAGGTGAATTGAGAATGCTTGCATGGCACCCGCCTAGAAGAAGGGACCAAAACAAATGAGACAAAAACGACCGAATGGTAGGACACTGCGTTTCTGTTAGGCGATAAGGACCAGTTGGACTTCTGAATAGTTCAATAATAAACAGATCAGTAATGATTGATGGGAGACTTGGTAGAAGCTACTTCCGGCCTACCATTCGAGGGATTCCCACGGACGGCAACCGGCTGATACAACAAAAATGCTGTCCAAATATTTTTGCTGCGTTCTCCACAACTACGCTAGTGAAATGAATCACCGACACTATAAATAATAGTATAAATGCACTGTCTCCTTCAACAGGTTAAAAGAAATACTCTAAACTGCCATGGCTTGTAGGTTACTCGGACAAACTAACAACACCTTGCCCGTGGAAAACCGCAAAGGATTCAGATCACAGACGTTTACTGGTTTACAGTACTCTAGGAACTTATAAAACAGAGAGGTTCCAGGCTGTCCAAGAGAGTGCTCAATACCGAGAGGTAGAGCTGGTTCAAAAAATAGGAGGACAGAGAAAGTATTTTTACTCCGAGTTTCACGCACTAAGCGATCATCAGAAAACTTACATCGACCATAGCTGGTTTGTTACTCGGACAAACTGACAGGACCTTGCCAAGTCGACTCGTCGCCCACAACAGCTTCTCGTAGCTGTGCGTACGCAGGATGCGCACAATCTCGATGGGACCATTTGCCGACAGAACGAGCAGCTTGCTCTCCGGATGGGAGTAGCAGATGAGATACAGGCAATCGATGGCCATGCAGATCACCTTGACGTTGGAATGGTGCAGTAGAGATACGAAGCGCTGGATGCCGCCTGCACACAGAAACACAGTAGCGAAGGCACACAGAGTGCTGCGGTGGTCAGGAAGAAGAGAGGAAATAAAAGACCCTTGATCGTATGATGAGCAGCCAGCGCATTGTAAATCGCGGCATGAATCACCACACCATCCACGAAGCCAAACGGAAAAGGCCGGACACCATAGTATCAGCAAGACACAATACTTCCAACAAATCAACATGGTGGAGCCACATGTAAGCTAAGCTTCTTACATGCAACAGACCTCGTTACCGCAAGACTAGAGCTAAATGACACAAGTTTATAGAACAACGCTGGTCCATAGCAGACTCAGCAGAGGACGTTCAGGTTGCTTGAAACTGTGAGTTTCATGCAATCATCGAGACAACTGATATTCGGATCTACCCAGCGGTATGCTTATAAACACATAGAGCCACAGACATAAACACATTCAGCACAATACAGTTGTTACCCCGAATAAAGTGAAACAGCTGTCTAAGACGACCGCTCAAGGGACATTCAAAACGTGGTCTCTGTAACCAGGTGGTCTCCTTATCCAGGGTCATTCGACTGGAATAGCATCTCTTGCTCCTGGTTGAAGTGGTCTTCTAGGACAGGTGGTCCCCTTATCCGAGTGGTCGCCTTGGCAGGTTTTACTGTATCTAACAGCTCTTGGGCCAGTCACCAGAATACAATAATACTAATGATTAGTGCATAGATAGACTCAGACGGAGAGCCAAGGATTAATTTATAGCAGAGAAAAGGACCGAGGAACTACAAGTGCTGTCAGTGTCAGTGTCGTGCAATGTTATCGCATGAGCTGATTGTCAAGTAACTGGTGGTGTTAGTGGACATTATAGCGCAACCTGTAGTTCTTTGGCCATTTTCTTTACCATAAATTCTTGCCTAGGGGTTTACAAGGGTTAGGATGAGCCCATGGTTTTCAGCAACAAAAACCCGAGGATGAAGGTGAAATTGCGGATTCATCATGATAGCCAAAACAGTAAAGCATGCGAGGCCAATATAGAGACGTACCCGCGAGTCGTATATCTCCTTTGCTGTACTCCAGGTTCTGCAGCATGTTGTGGAGGGTGGAGATTGCTAAGAACATCAGCATTTCCGTGTTCGAACTGCAGATCACCCACACAAGAAAAAGCCAAGGTTCATATCGCATTATGCCTGTGTGGTGGGAATGATCATCTCAATATTGTCTCTGAAAAATCTGTAAATTGACATTTCAGTGTGAGGCCAAGGGTATTCAACACATAATCTGCACCACTATAGCCATGTTATCAAGTTCAACGTCTGGGCTACGCAAATATTTATGAGTGTTAGTGAGCTGAAATGGAGAAAATCTGATTCCAAAATATGCTTTTCTCGCTCCACATAATAATTATACTGGCACACACAGAGACATAGACTGCAATCGCGACAACACACAAAGTGAAGGGTAGTTGGCTGCAGCCAGATGTGACTAAATATTGATAAGTTTTAGGGAGCTGAAATGGAGAAAATCTGACAACAAAATGTATGTAATGAAGCACACTCAGGGGGTCATGGTGGCTGAATCTTGCCCGAGCCTGCACCCCAAGGGCCGTAGGCCCGAGGGTTGCAGGCAAGGGCAAGATTCAGCCATCATGACAGACAGACAGACAGAGCGTGCTTGATTTGATTTCTTACAGCGCAAAGCAACATATTAGGGAAGGCCAAAGGTCGAAAGGTCGAAAATTATTCCCGAAATGACGTCAAACGGTCTTGACATTCCCGAAATGACGTCAAACGGTCCTGAAACTCCCGAAATGACGTCAAACGGTCCTGATGTCCTGATTATGCCCGCGGCGGGAAGACCGCCTATTGGCCATGACCCCGTCAACGATCACGTGTCATGTAAGAAATGCTTATCATCACCAGGATTCGAACCAGCGACCATCGCATATGGCTAACGATGCTCTACCACTAACGCCTGGTGCAGCTTCTTTGGGCTATGACTGGTACATACCTCAAATGACGCACCAGCGTGGCAATACCATGGCATTGACGAATGTGAACAAGTCCTTGACTGTACAACAAAGAATACAAACATTTACACAGTAAAACATTAATACAGTAAAACGCGTAAGTAAAACACCACCTTGCGACTAGCGACCAGCCTGCTATTACACACCACTTTGCCAGGCACAGACACTCTCACATTCATACTATGGTTTAGCGGTGCAAACCTCTAACTAAGGACCACCTGCCACTAAAGACCGCTTTCTCTGGCCTCAAGGGGTGGTCGTTAGTCACAGGTTTTACTGTATGTTGAAAACATGTATAAGGATAGAAGCGTTCCTCCTTTATTTCCAATCGAACATGGTTGAACAAGCGGTCACGTGCTCCTGCGTACACCAGTCACCTGGTCACCGTGCCTGCAGGGTACAACTTACTAGCCTGTTTGACCTTTTTTGGGTGCAGTCCTGTCACTCGAGTTGAACCTTGGTGTGAAAGTTGTCGCCTGCTGGCGCGGTGACCAGGTGATTTGGGCAACCAGGACCACGTGACCGCTTCCTCAACCATGTTCGATTGGGAATAAAGGAGGAACGCTGTATCGCAGCCTTTTCGAACCAAAACCAGTCGACTCAGCGTCCAAAAGACTACAACATATGGACCAATCGCGGTCATCCGTGCTTTTATAAGAACGAAATGGCGCTTTTAGTGACATTTTGCATACAAATCCCCATCTAGTAGGGCGCAGTCACCCAGTTTCGGTGGAAGTGCGCGAGTTCGATTGGGATTCAAGTAGGAAGGGAGCGTCGCAGCTTCCTCGGACCAAGACCATTCGACTCAGCACCCCGAAGACTACAACTGGTGAAAATTTGATTTTAGGGTATACTTCCCCTTTAAACCCTCGGGCTGACTTGCAGCACTAGTAGCACCAACCGCAGTGGACTTGCAGCAAGGCATGGACATTTTTGTCTATATAATGGTCTTATACCTGTGTTATCGCTATGTACTTCGATGACAGAGGGAGTTGAGGGGGCTGTCCTTTGTGGACTGCCGGCTTGTGACAACTTAGCACCAGTTGCTACACGTAATCATATACACACACGCACAACCGCGCACCGGTCGACCCGGCCACCCACCCGCACGCATGCACACACATACACACACACACACACACACACACACACACACACACACACACACACACACACACGAGTAAAGCCCTTAGCGCCTCGCAACCGTTGTCTTCTCTAGCAGGGAAAAATACCACATGTTATGGTGGGGCTTTATTGACAACAAATTGTCTCTTTAGCCCAAATCACTTACTCTTCTTTGCTGATATCATAGACAACAGCCATAGCCTTGGACACGACGTCAGCCTCCACATCCGACTTGCCTGCCAGCTTCATCAGGTTGGCAACAAGCTGCGGTGAATCGCACATAATCGGTCGTGAAGCATCTGTTCGGCTCAGCTGTTGTGCCATGTCTAAGGCCTGCGGGCAGGAGAGATAAAAGAGGAAATACAATACAAACATATCGGCAAGAGGGGAGATAATTCCACGAGGCGATATGTAGCCGTACTTGTTCATACTGAGAGGACTAAGTTAGTGGTGTGTAAGAGGTTTTTCATTTGACCCGACGAGACCACACGACGCTTGCAGGCCACAGCACGAACAGTTCACCAGCCACACTCCACGAAAGCAAGTAGTATTACTCCTGTGGTCTCGTGGGGTCAAACGAAAAACCTATTACTACTATTTGACGGACCTATGGAAGATGGCAACAAAGAATTAGTGGTGTGTGTGTGTTTGTATGTATGTGTGTGTGTGTGTGTGTGTGTGTGTGTGTGTGTGTGTGTATGTGTGTGTGTGTGAGCGCGAGCCCATGTGTGTTTGTGGCTGTGGCTAATCGGCACTCTACGGTATACGGTTGGATGGGATAAAGAGTGGGCATCACCAAGAAAAGGGAGGTGTCGATGTTCTCGTAAAGAAGTGACGGTGGTGGAGTACATAACACCCTGCTGTGCTAAGTTTGGCAACTTCCCCATGTCTCAACCCCGAAAGGAAGCGAATGCAGTAGTAGTCATACTTGCCGAAGCTTAAAATCCAAAATAAATAAAAAGACAGCCTGCTGTGTATTCACCATCACGGAGGTATTTTAGTGTGCTACGGTCAGCAATCTAAAGTACAATTTACTTGTGGGAAGGGGTTGCTAAGCCGAAACGTTTGGAAATTTAGAGCCCAGATCAGTGTATCTTATTGATTCACGGGTAGCTGGGGCAAAAAGTGGCAGGGTCAATACCGTAGTGACCGTACCGTGTCCGACGCCCCTGACCATTTACCACCATCTGAATCCACCATAAATACAGCTCCAGTGAAGTCGTCGACTTCATTCTTCCTGAAAATCCTGACCTGCAGTGTAAAGTACTGTCACGAAGCACCAGGAAGCAGCACTACCGTACTGGCAATATATGTTGCCGCGTAACGCGTAACGCAGGGGGGTGCGGCGTAACGCGCGACCAGGCTAGTGCGACAAATTTTCGTTGAGTTCGTAACGCGCGTCCGGCGGGGTGCGGCAATCTTTTCATTGCAGTTTGCACTTTGTAATATGTTGTACACTCATTAACTGTGTGAGTGACAGTAGTTTTTGGAGGAAGCGCTCTTCCCCTATGTCACTTTCCTTTTGATGATCTTTTTGTGAACAGATCACTCTGATAATTAAAATATACAGTCTTCTATTGATATCGTTGTCGCCCTTTGCCGTCGGGTTTGTAACAGTTGGATAGCAACTGAATTTCTGTGCCTTCAATGTGGATGAAAAGAAAAAATGATGCGGCAAAAGCAAAAAAATGATGCGGCAAAAGCAAAAAAAGTGATGCGGCAATAGCAAAAAATGGACTGCGGCAATATAGAAACCTGTGTAACGGCTCCAGTGCGACTTTGCATGTAACGCCCTGCGTGCGGCAAACATGTGCCAATGTAACGCTTCATGGCCTCACTGCGGCAACATATATTGCCAGTACGGTACTAACCTGCGTGACAGTGACCGTGTTGCCACTGGCGATCAGCTGGGTAAGCTCTGGCACCATGCGCACAGCTAGATCACTGTCATTCTGCAGAGACACACAGAAAACCAACATACACAAAAATCGAAGTACAGTAAAACCGGTCATGGCGACCACTTGGATAAAGCCACCACCTGTCCCAAAAGACCACTGCAACCAGGACCAGGGGAGGTTATTTCCAGCCGAAAGACCCTAGATAAGGAGACCACCTGGTAACAGAGACCACATTTTGAAGGTCCCTTGAGCGGTCATCATCGACAGGTTCCACTGTAACCTACCGTATTTTTCTGAAGTATAGTGCGCACCCCCAATCTTCATTGGGGGTGCGCACTTCAATCTTCATTGAAGTACATGCATTTCATATTCGGAGCATATTCGGAGCATAGTGCGCAAAAGCGATTTAGAGCCTAAAATAGCACATCTAAAGTGCGCACTATACTCCGGAAAATACAGTATTAAAGTTCAGTGACATGACTTCAACAATAGTTTACAGCACCAATCTTGCTCCACATATTAATATACTGCCATACAAGGAGACATTGGCAACAAGGGCACCATCACACAAATAGAGAGGTAGTTGGCCACAGCCAGGTGTCGTGTTGAAAAACTAGCAGCAACTGTACTAGCTCCCTCTGGTGAAGATGACCGAAGGCCAGCACTCTAAACAGCAATGCCAAGATAGGATGTCAATCCAAACAGCATCGCTAAGATATGATGTCACGGAGAAGCTAAACAAGGGGAGAGCCTGTACCTGAAAGTTTGCCAGGTCTCCCAGAGCTGACTGCAGGATTTCAACTCCCTGGGCTATGCGCAGCGCTGATGATGATTCTGCACCGCTTGTCGCAGCCGCAGCAAATGCAAAAGTGTTTGTAGAGGACGACGATGGTGCTACTGTGGCCGTATGGGCAGTGCTTGGCTGCTGTCTACTCCTCACCTGTTCTGCCGTTCCGTCCCGCGATGTGGCTTGCCGCCCGCTCTGACCGCGAGAGTTTTTCCTGAAAATCACACACACGCACACACACACACACATACACACCACAAACACACACACACACACACACACACGTAAATGCACACACACACACACACATACAAAACGCATACACACACGAACACTGGCTGACATACAAGCACCGCACGCACACACACACACATAAACACATAACACACACATCTGATCAATCACACACACATCGAAACAAATACAACTGCACGTAGGAGCAAGTACACAAGTGCAAACACGAATAATACGCCCAGTTCCACAAGGACCCACCTACATATCACACTCAAGAAAAGAGATACAGTCACTGCTAACCGGATAATACTTCCTGTGCAAGTTGAAGCATATGAGGACAAAATGAAAAGTACCTCAAGAGATGCAAAGAAGCGAACAGAGAAAGGGAGTGTACATCATGTCATAAGGTGGCTGCTGTCAATCAGCAGCTCAGATCAAGCTCGCACTTCCAAAGTGAACGGCAAACTTCATTATTGTGTGTAAATCTCCCTTTTATCTTGGATAAATTTTGTTACAGACAAAACGACAAAACTCTGTAGAGGCTCGGTAGTGACATTATCGTCTTTGACTGTATGGAGCAGTAAACCAGATCTTTTAGATTCTAAATGATGACGCTGATTACGATTTCAGTGGGTACATCCATGTGGCGTAGCTGAAATGGACGTTATCTCGCACTTACCCTTTGCTTCGTTCCAGGCTGCCCGACGCGACCGGTCTTGGACGCATGACCTCCGCCATGGTTCGGTCACACAAACGTCGTCAGAGCACTCCCAAGTTAACCGTTTCTTTGCTGCTGTCTGTCTAGGCACAAACTTGCACCTGCAGGTAAAGAAAATCCAAAAATCTGATTCATAAATTTTTACTTCCAAAGAGAGGCTACTTTTCAAGACAAATAGTTAATCTCACGAACTTCACTTGGAGCTATCGCTACTCTACTGTCGGGCGCCGAAGAACTTGGGGGGGGGGGGGGGGGGGTCAGGGTACTAGCCTAGCACATTCTTATTTTTAGCGGACACAGCAGTTTCGTTGTTATTCGATTGTACCGTCTTACAAGCGATGCCGATTATTACAGTCTTACATATACAGTAGGTATCGGTTATAGCGTGGCTGTTTGAACAACGACTTTCTATTCTTATTTCCGATATTTCTTACACACGATACATCAAGTGTGACATAATTATCATATGCATGTGCGCAGGGGCACGAAGATCATTGTACGTGCAACGTAGTGCTACTGTGCATGCGGCTGGTCATAGTCCCATAGGCTTACCATGTGGCTATCCAACATGACTTACATGACCACAACAGTTGAACCTGCAGCACTACGACGGAACGCGAGTCAGATCAGAACTGCACTGGACAGATGTTATTACTACAGGCGATACACTTTGTACTAATCCGGCATGTTTTGCTACACAAAGTCCATTCTTAGAACCGATATATTCTACTACAGTATGCGATAAAATTGCTTGTAAGAATAAAAGTGCACTTGAAACCTGTGTTATGATTATGAAAACATGAGAGTTTATTCTTGTAGGCGGTATATTGTTTTACACGACCACGCTATAACCGATACGCACTGCACATGTATGCAGATGTATACGTCTGAGTGTACATCATAGTCTACATTACGGTTTACATCCTTATCTGCAAAAAATCCAGCCAACACCGATCTTAGAAATCGGCGAAATTCTATCCTGGCCGGTCTTTGGCGTCAAACAGTACTGTAGTGGAGAATGACCTTCAAGGCTCCACTGCTCCTGCATTGATGAATGACGCAATGACATGGTTGCAAAGACACAAACGCAAAATGGTGGTAGATGCACGGCTACCCCCCCCCCCCCCCCCCCACACCGACAAGCTCTAACTGATGTACAATGCTGCTCAGTTAAGCGATCGTACTTCATTGAGCGGCACTGTACCAGCCCGCTTTGTCAGATATCACCAGCCCTGCATCGTGAAGGTGTCATGTGCATACTGATGGTGGCGGCGTGTCGGAGTTTTCAGCTTAGTGCGCGTTGGCTACCAACATTTTTCAGGCTAGTTTCAAGCTCTATGTTAAGTTAATCTGTTGTAACGATTGGCCTAGTTGATAATGACAAGTCAACTACATGGAATAGTCAAAGAGTTATTCACGGTATCCATGCATGACAAATCTTACTCCTATATGTGCTTCTTCTCTTTTTTACATTTATTACTGGCTCAGTATCCGAGTTTAAATTTTGCACACCTGATGAGCCGTCACAAGCAACAGGGCGAAACGTACGTCGTGTGGAACTACTTGCTATTCTTACTCCTTTAGTCTTATTGCGTATTTCTGCTATGTCCAGTTGCCATACTTCAATGATTAAATCCTACGTTCTTTTTAGGGAAGATATTTTACTGTTTGGGTCATCTAACTTGAGCTACTTCATGGCAAATGGTATCCATTCGAAATCTACAATCGCCTTAGTGGATCTGCCGGTAAAGATGTCATTTTGCATCACATTCTCAACGTCTGTGCGAACATGACCACATGCGTGTTTGCATTTAACATAAAAATATGCATTGCGCGCGCATATACACACATACACACCCACACTGCCGCATATGAACACATTATCTTCCGTGGATTCATTGGAAAAGTGGTCAGCGGAAGGAAACGATCGCACAAGCATGCCGTATGTGACACTTTAGACGTTGTTCGGAGACCCACGTACACACATTAAGTCCTGTACAAGACTCTATACACACACGCAAGGCATTAGTTGTCAACACAAGGGCATGTATAGCAACACAGAGGAATGAAATTAGCTCGACCACAATTTTGAACTAGTACCAAAGGTACAAGCACCTACACGAAAACAAAAACAAGAGTTTCTCTGCAATGCTGATTCGCTTTTGTGCACCACATTCTTTTCCCATCGCAGAAAGCAGAACATGTGCAGTCAGGCAAAATTAGCAGTACGACCCACACAAACATGCAACGGTGAACGCGCATGGCGGAGCAAACAAAACGTAATGACTCTACGTATAGTTATAACATGCTCTAATAAACACACGCTGGAAAGGAAGTAATGTGCAAGGGAAAATGTGTTACACTTAGAGTTACTCTGTCCAGGCCCCGGAACTATTAGTATAACAGGACAGGAACATGGCTGTCCTCAAAGCAGGCCGAGTGTTCACATTGAACACTCTAGCAAGCGTTCGCAGTGTGCAAAATTCAAACGAACATTCAGACAAAGGGCATCGATTTTCAACTCGAGCCCTCGTAAAAAAGATACTTTCTACTCACCTCCCGCTCGCACGTTTCCACTGGCGATTACTGAAGCAACAGCCTGAAGGTTATCGGCTCCAGCTGTGCGCTGTCCCAAATAGCAGCCCACGCTTTTCTTTGGCAATTAACGATCTGGAGGATTCAAGTAAACTATTCTAGAGGCTACGCAAACGCAAAGATAGCAATGCAAAGAAAATGATTGTGTTTGGTTGGGCCAACGACAGCGGTGAGCCATGATAAAACTGAGCGACGGGAAAGACCAGTGCAGCCCAGTGCGTAGCATGCAGCAAAACTCGCCCACAGTACAGTAGTATGCGGCACATCATTCAGTGGACGTGCATACTGTCGTACTGACAGTCTGTCACTTGTCAGTGTCAGTACAGCCACCGCGCGCTGACTGCGCTGCACAACAGTCAGTGCAGTGCAGTGCGACTGCACGGACTCGACTGAGGATGGGTGACACAGCTAGCTGCAGATCAGCAGATCTGACAGTCTAGCTCTCTCTACTCTACTCTCTAGCTAGAGAGAGCTGCAACTGTCAGACTAGCTAGCTAGACTGTCAGATCTGCTCTCTACTCTAGCTCTCTCCATACTAGTACATGTAGTAGCACTAGCAGTACAGCCTGTACAGGCTACGGCTAGCTGCACAGGCTACATGACCAGAAGAATACTCAATCTGCGGACAGAACTGTTTAGTCTGTTTCGTCCTTTGTGGACTCGAAGAATACCGTATTTCCGCAAATAAAAGGCCGTCCTCGTATACAACGCCTTCCTCGTATACAAGGCCGGGGCAGGGGGCGATTGAAAAAATAAAAGACCGTCTCCAATTAGAAGATCGGGCCTACTACTGTACTAAATGAGTCTTTGTTCTTGGGTTAAAAATAGAAGACCGTGCTCAAACTGTGGGAAAAAATAGAAGACCGTGCTCAAACTGTGTAGAAGAAAATGGAAGAACGGGGGTAAAACTGTGTGGCGAGAAATAGAAGACCGGGGTCAAACTGGGTTGAAAGAATAAAAGACCGTCCTCGAATACAAGACCGTCCTCGATTATAAGGCCGGGTTAGGACGAGGTTGAAAAAATAGTAGACCGGCCTACTATTTGTGGAAATACGGTATGTAGATCCACTCTGCAGATACTACAGTCTCTGGTTCTTGAGACGTGAGTACAGTCGAGTACAGTGGTCCCTCTATAATCCGGCACCATTTGTGCCACGAAAATCTGCTGGATTAGGGAGGGTGCTGGATTAACAAATCTGATTTACTGCTGCAATGTGCATGAAGAGGACATTTTGGCTACTGAAAATTGTGCTGGTTTATCGAGGGTGCTGGATTATAAAGTGCCGGATTAGAGAGGGACGACTGTACTACAGTGTCACTGTCAGGCAACAGAGCTGAGCATGTCCAAAAAGTAACTGCTTGGTTGTGCTAGTAAGCATGGTAAGGGGCCATCCGTAAAATAGATATTTTTATTAAATTTTAGAAACGAAAACTAGTCGTTAGGGGGGGGGGGGGGGGGGTTGAGCGCCTGTTCGTTTCTCGAAAAATATCGATGTACATTTTGCATGCCTGAGCGTGTCCAGAAAAAAAGACCAAAAATATCGATACTATGTACCATTTGTATGTGTTCGTTTCTCAGGGAGGGGGGAGGGGGGTTGAAGAGAAATATCGGTACATGTACTACTGACGGTTGTTGTACTAAGTAACACGTTAGTTCGTGTTGTTGTTGTTCTTTTTCTTATCTCTTGTTTTGTAAATTTGTTTGTTTTTTGAATGTTTCGCTTTGATTTGCGGTGGAAACGTGCTGGCTGTGTTCTATCCATGTTTGAGTGAGGTCTATTTATTTGATCGCTTTTCAGTGGTTTCTCTTTAATGCTGTTTAGTTTATGAGACTTCATTCACTCAGGCTTTTTCCCTTTCTTTTCTTCTTCTTTGTAGGAAATCGTGTGTTCCTTGCAAACATTTACATGTACATGTACATACTTTCGTTTGCTAATTTGGATTGTATTAAAAACTATTCGCCCGGCCACTAAGGTCTTGTTCAAAGATCAACCATCAACGTGCTACACGTCAGAATACAGTGCGTGCAGACTCTGGTGGTAAATGATAATATCACAGGACAGGGTTCGTTTAGATCTACATGTACATGTTGAAGAGACAATTTCACAGCAGGGAAATTTATTTAAACTTCACTTCGCAACTCAAAAACGGTCTCTTCACTGCGATTCAAACCAAAATTAATATTAATATTACACCAAATTTTCGGGCCTGGCCCATCATCAGGGCAGCGAAAAGACCGTTTTTGGAGTTGAGAAGTGAAGTTTTTAAAAATGTGTAAGTGGCTGCGGTGGAGTTTGCGGACAATTAGAAAAGGGAAATTTATAATGTATAAAACGTATTGTAAGACGGTATTAAAGCGCACTTGGTACTAAAAGGTTATATCAAGGACCTGCAAAACACAATAATTATACATGTACTGTACATGCACATGTACTGTACATGAGTCTGCCAGTACTGGCCCCGTAAGCACTATGACGACTTGTAATTCACCTTTCGTTTGAAAGTGTTGTGAACCCTCTGATTCTCTAAAAAAAAGTGTCCGCGATGACACTGCACAAGGACAACTATTGCTTCCGCACAGTATATTTTGACTTCGATCGAACATAACTAAAACTAAGATCGCCAGCTATTTACATGTATAGCATGACATGACGTCGTACATGTATATCAGAAAATCATAAAGCATAACATGAAATGACAGCGTATATCAGTAAATCGTACATGTACATGTACATTTCTGCTGGAATTCACAACAGTGTACATGTAACATGTACATGTACATAATCCTTGTACATGTATGTATCTCAATTATAGGGTCCGGCGGATTCTGCCGGCAGAAAAATTGGCAGAATTGGGTACTTTTTCTGGTAAGTTTCATGCATGTTTGGTATGTGGATAAGGAAATGGAGCAGAATTCGAGGAATTGCCCGCCATAAGGTTTGTATGGTTCTGCCTACTTCACTGCTTTTCGAGCAGAATCTGCCACCTTTTCGAGCAGAATCCGCCAGTCCCTCAGCTCAAATGGCGTAAATCATGCAGAAAATATCAGCAGTATGGCGGATTCGAGATACGACAATCAAGCAACTACAATAAGCTAGAAAACTGTTCAACCTTCATGAATTTCAGAACTTGTGGTTTGTAACAGAAGATAACCTCGAAGACTAGGATGCTAGAATAGTAAGATAGAGAACACACTTCAGGCTCTTCAACAACATCTTGAAAGGTTCACAAGAGTCAAGTCTAGCGAGCTGCAACTCCCGGTACCGAAAGGCGGGCTCACGGCCCTACCATGGCCACTTCCTCTTGTCTAAATCCAAAGACGAAATGATGGCAGCCGACTGGCCGAAATTAAAAAAGAAAAAGTTTCATAAGTACAGTACATGTAAACGTCCGTGGCTTGGCCTTAGCTGGTGAAAATGCAAGAACCTTTCCTTAGATTTTGCCTTTGAATGACTTGCCAGAGGCCTGCGTCAGAGATTTCGCGTCGTATCCCTCTTTTCCAGAGTACTCCCCTATTTCGGCGTCCGGGCAGACTGGTTCGAAGCGCAGGAGATGTTGTGAGCGAGTGCTCAGTCTGTTCCAGACAGACTCCGGTATGCGCACGCACACCTCGGGTCTGCGCAGCCACTTACGACTGTATCCAATGACGATCATGACCCTTGGTTCATCCGTGTTGTTCGGTGTTCCTCTGTGCAGACCACGAACATCGCGCACCATCAGGTCTCCCTTTCGCATGAACACCGGCTCGAGCGCTTTCAGGGCACTGCCATCAGCTTTCATTCGCTCACTGTCCTCCAGTGTCATGCGATGCGTTCCCCGTATCACCTCCAGCGGTCCTTTCTCCATGCTAAGAACGTCGCATAGAGGAAAGTTCACTCCCAGCTGGTACATGGGCGGCTCTGCGTTCCAGTCCAGGTCCCCCTCAAAAAGAGGTGCAGTGTCCCTGTGAATTTCCTGATACTCGGACCCATTCATTGGCGTATCTGACGCCCATTGACACAGTACAGGGTCCTTGCCGACTAAGCCCTCCACTATACTAAGCAGTCCCGGGTCGCTGAAGATCGTCTCGTCAGCGAACGGAGCGCGGAAAGGCGGTGTAACGTACCAGCGATTGGCGCCGCGTTCAGCCTCTCCTAGTTCGATACGCTTGTGCAGTAAAGGTAGAATTGCCCGCGACATAGCGTCAATCTTGCTCACCGGTATGAAATTGCGCAGCACAGTGAAGCCATCCTTGGTGGCAGCCGTGACGTGCTCCTCGATTTCACGTTGCGATAGCTCATGGCATTTGCTGCTGCAGCACCTTTTGTTGATTGTTCTACGAATGGCGCACGTCACTTGTTTCTTCCCGACCGTACTGCGTGCGTTGCATGAAAGCAATACCTTAGCCATCCTCAAATAGTACTCTTCTATCGGGCACTGAACAGAGAGTGAGCTACATTTACCACCTCCAGGTGACCACGACTATTATTCATACACAGGTGAGTGCACCACACTGCTAACTACACGATCTATAAAGCACCAAGAACTGGTATTCCCGCATTTTGAAGCGAGTCGTGGACGAATAAATTGAACACTGCAGTCGGATGTGCTCCGACCTTCATCCAATCAACAACTCGTGATAAATTTTAGAACCCATCTGACGCTGATCGCATGACCTGTCTCCAACAGAACCAGCCATCACGTGTGTCTATAATGATTGTGAAGCCAATCCCTGGTTCTCCCGGAGTGCCTGACATGAGATGAGGGGGAGGGGGTTACGTGTGGGTGTATGGGAGAAGTACATTCACGCATACATGTACATTACTCAATATCATAGTGCGAGTTTCGGACAAGGCAGGAGTTTGTTTTCAATCACTCCAAAAACCAATTGTGAAACAGCTAAGTCCGCTGTCCAGAGATCGAGTACTGAACATGCAGCATTTTGTAAGAGAAGGTTCAGGTGCTTGTTGTTGTTGTTGTTGTTGTTGTTGTTGTTGTTGTTGTTGTTGTTGTTGTTGTTGTTGTTGTTGGTGTTGTTGTTGTTGTTGTTGTTGTTGTTGTTGTTGTTGTTGTTGTGCTTTTCTTTGTGCTGTATGGTGGGGCGATTGTTAAGCAAAAGGTGTTAATTAAATAGTCACCCAGGACTTTAGGATAGCTTTACTCAGTGTCCTCTATGATTATGAATGGGGAATAACCGAAGTCATTTAATTAATTCGAAACAAGCATTCCGTGATCATCTCACATATACCTACATGTACATGTACATGTACACTAGTGTACCGAAGGACGTACCCAGAGTGCCTGATGATTGCGTGAGCATGAAACTTAAAGTACAATCATACCTAGCTGTTTATGCAGGCAGTCCGGGAACGGACACTGCCCGTAACTTCGAAATGTCCGTAACTCTGAATCACATACATTTTGATTGGGAAAAGGCCATCGATATGGCATATGACGTCAATATTTCCACGAAAAGTGACAAAAGAGTAGTAATATTTCCCCTGAAACTCGCCTAAATAGTGCCCGGTAGACCGAAGTGCCCGTAACTTCGGGGTCCTGATAACCGAGGTATGAGTGTAGCTGCAAACAAGCCTTGATTGTCCTTGTTGTTCTGTTGTGTAGACTAGTGTATAGCCTATAGGACAGCAGTACTAAACCACACCTTTCCCACCTACAAAGCTTATAATGCTTGCAACCTGCTACGAGATTAGACTCCAGTTCAGAACGAACATCAATATTCATAAGGTTTGTCTGTCCAAAATAGAGTGTTCCTCAAATATACATATAGGTATACTGTACAACATGCGAAGTGGCGAAGCGGTGGCGAGTAGTGATGGCAAGACAAGCAAAAATTCATGAAAGTACAAAAACAATTCTTTTTTCTTACAATTTGGATCACAGTTTCCTCCTAACGAAAGCCAATTACAAAGAACAACAGCCGAAAAGAATATCCAAAGATATTTTCGTCAATATACCATACATTATTTTATGCACATGTCGTCACATTTGGAAGATACCCAGGCAGTTGTTAGACCTAGTCTAGAGATTCTCATTCCAAATTGAGCGTGGCACCTCTAGGGTAAGAATATGTACAAGCTACTAAATAATAATCTGTCATGCAGCAAGTGTCAACCATGTTCAGTATGGCACGTATGAAACACTTTAGTCTACAGTATTCTTGGTCTATGCAGAGAGGTTAATTGTTAACATTGCATTTGCAAGACAGTCTGAAGAAACCGTTAGGGTGTGGTAAACGGGGTAGTTACATGTACGCGAATATTCTGCCGATGATGGAAGTCACGCAGCTCAACATAAGCACGGAGTAAAATGATGTAGATAATTGTATTTACAAACACATGTATGCACAATGCACCGGAAGAACGCTGCAGCCCTTTCAGCGACGGCAGTCGCAGAGTCACATACCATCATTCACCAAGCCACTGGGAATCAGTCTGCGATCAGAGGACCTTTGACGTCGTCGTTGCGAAGAGGCGTCTCCTCATTTTGGCAGGCCTCGGCGTCTTGACCCAACGCAGGGCTGTAGTTCCGCCTTAGTGAGCAGGCAAACAAGGTGATCACGACCATTGCCACTACACCACAGAACATCAGCATGATGCTGTCTTGCATGTCCGACGCCTTCACGTCGGCTTCTCTCCCACCTTTGTGATGAGAGACCTTGTAGTAGCCGCGTAGACCAAGCAGGAAGGAAACAATCGAGAACGCCATCGCTAGGGACGACACTACTATGGCAGTGATGAAACGCCTGCGCGAATCCATGCTGACAACCTAGTGTGGCCTTCGTCAGTTTCTCCTGTCTCAACCTCTGCTGATCTCTCGCGCCCAGCTATATTGCAGCACAATTGTCCACTAACCTAGAGGAGATCACGAAGCCCTGGTTTGTAACGTTTCAAGTGTACACTGACTTTGAAAAGGAGGAATCGCCTCGTTATATTCACAAGGAAAATACTACTGGCATAATCAGCACTATTATCAACTGAACATGAACCAAACTCAGCGCTGATACTAGTACTAGGCAAATAATTCTTCTGCACTACAATGTCATGTACATGTAGATCCATACTATGGATCTACATGACTGTAGTAAAATAATGCAGACCTGCAAGCATGCAGGCTATGGACCATATAGCCTGCATGCAGGTCTGCATTCTTTTTCTGAGTTTTAGTGTGCAAACAAGTGTATAGCTAAGAAGCGTGACTTTTACCAATGGCGCCAAACACCCACTGTACTAGTCACTGCCACGGCAATGCCTCGTGGCTAGCCGCAAACCACGATGCTGTGTACATGTGTGTACGTAGTCCTTTCGAACAGGCTGGTTTACAGCGTTTGCGCTCAAAGCAATCCCATGGCTCTGGATCGGGATGAACAGTAGTAATACTAGTACTAGTAGTAGTATGAATAGCATCACACATGTCCCCATGATCACACCACACATAAGGCTCAAATCTACATGACATAGATCTAGGACTGGTGATAGTACACGAGTTGGATTTTGCTCTTCCGAGTACAACCCACATGTATGTTAGAGAGTATACTACGAGAGGCTTTATGTGCGAATATTTATGCAAAGGTTTTGAATATGTACATGACGTATGGAATACAATATCTACGTAGCTTGAGTGCGAACTGTGTAGCATATCTACAATTCGCCCCATGGTCTCTGTCCAGCTCTGGATTGCTGTTTGAACTGTATGAAGGTGCACATGCACATGACACACAACCATGAGTCATGACATACAGTATGCATGCAGTGGCTCCTTGCAAGGTGGGCGTGTGTTCAGAATCGACACACTTGAAGTCAGTGGCAACTGAAAGTAAGTTTGGTTTGAGCCAGGTGGGCTAGAAGCGTCGCTCAACGCTGCATCCAAGGTAACCCAGATAGTCCATCGGCCAAGTCTCAAAATCGAAAGTGGTGATGCACTGAGCTTCCAAGTAAACGCGACCATACCCAGCACGTAGAGAATATATCAGAGAACACTATTCCGTTTGTTGGACGTGCCGAATTCAGTCCAGGGCGTCGATACGAAGCGTTCTTCGTCGCCGAGTTTTTTTACTGTGCGCTCCATTTGAGAGTGCGCAGAGTTCTGATCGAGAGTTTTTTTAGCAGATTTTCAAATTTTTGAGGCTGTCAGCGGACAGCTGCCAACGCTAAATGGCACTTAGTATGTGACAGGCAATAGGTTTTGGTGCCTCCTTATGCCTTCTATCTTCCTTCGTTTCACTTCGCTGCTTGGCCCACCACCTCAGGAGATGACAGCGTACCTGCACTAATACTAGTCAGCTCTCGCTAACCCTGCGCCTCTCTTTCTCCATCTTAGCGCTCGTCATTCGTGTCCTTCTGATGGGGCGAGCTTGATACTGTTGTGTCATAGATTTTAGGCAATAGTGGCTGTTGTTCGCGTGACGATCAGGATTTATGGAGAAAGACGACGACTCGCCAAGTTCCCATGCAGCCACAGACGGCGTAGCAATTCTTACCGCCAACCCTTTGAGCAACGGAACCGGCCTGTGTTGGAAATCGTGTCTGTGTAATTGTGCCACGATACGGATGAAACACACAGGCTCACATGTGACGAGATGAAGATAATCTCAACAGGCTGACGGAAATCCAACAGGCTCACGGGAACGCTGCAGTTGTGGTCGGAGACGCGGAGTTATTTAGTCACTGGTAAATGTTGCATCGAGTGCTGTGTGCTCTAACACAATTGTAAAAATCATGAAAAAGCGAAAATAATGCAATTGTGGGGCTGAGTGGTGTTCTGTGGAGGAGACGTCGCTGTATTCAAAGCCGGACCCTGTATTTCAAGTCTGTGGTCATGCTGGATCATAAGTTCCTGTATGGCTTCAGTGCCTTCTCGCCATTGTTGGCGACTAAGCAGCCGTGCGCCCCTGCCGGCAATCTGCTAGTGAAGCTTGGTACCTACTGTGTCCGGGAGATTTTCATCCAGAAGCTGATCTTCCTAGGTTGGAGCTGCTGCTACTCCTGTGCTAGCCCTCAACCACTGGCGCTCCTACTCGGCTCCAGTGTGGGCCATTAACCACCCGCATACACACACAAAAGCACATGCAGACACACGCACATGCAGTCATGCACGCACAATGACACAAACATACACATAGCCAACTTCTCTGTGTTTGGTGATCATCATCGATTCTGTTTTCTGATGAGCAAGCTCACCTCTGATGCCGATTACTTCCTTGCTTAGACCCGGTCTGCTATTAGACCAGTCTGCTCTCCCTTCACTCGCTTGTAAATCCTACTTGGAGCAGTAAGGTTGTGTCACTGCTCCTACTGATGTCATTGTTGTGAACGCAATATCATCACCATTGGTGGTAATTTTCCACCATGCCTGAATCATCAACAATCATCATCTATGTGTCAGGGCCCAACCATCCTCGTAACTCCCCTCATTGTGACTAGTGCTGTACCGTTGAAACCTACTTTGCTTCAATTATATTCGCTCCAAAGCTCTTGTTTTGTTGCATAGTGATCTGACCCAGTGTGCTATAGCCTATCGGGTAAAATGGATAAGATTAGTACAGTCGGCATCGCCTATCGCGAGTGACCAGGCACATATAAAGATATGAATAGGATGAAGGCCGCAGACATCACGCAACTACGTTACTTGTTTGACATGTATTACTGTGTATTTTATAACCAAAATATTATTGAAAACCCAGAATCGATTTTCTCGTTCCTAGTGGTTTTATTGCACTTGTATCTTGAATTTTATTTCTAACACCTTTCCATTTACAGTACTTAACTTCAGTTTCTTTGGTTGTATCCTTAGTTCCGTTTTTTTCCCACTCATGATAGGAACGAGAAGATCGATTCTGAGTTTCCAATAATATTTTTGTTATAAAATACACAGTAATACATGTCAAACAAGTAACGTAGTTGCGTGATATCTGCGGCCTTCATCCTATTCATAGCTATATTAAAATTATTATCTCCACGTAGGTTTTTTCAATAGCACTATGTGTACAATATTCCTTTCTAAGCTCATGTGGTGCGGTGTGGTGCGGTGCGGTGCGGTGCGGTGCGGTGCGGTGCGGTGCGGTGCGGTGCGGCGCGGTGCGGTGCGGTGCGGTGCGGTGCGGTGCGGTGCGGTGCGGTGCGGTGCGGTGCGGTGCGGTGCGGTGCGGTGCGGTGCGGTGCGGTGCGGTGCGCGGTGCGGTGCGGATAGGTCATGCGTCGTTGCCAACTTGCCGCATGTGCATGTGCAGCAGGAAGGCACCATAATGTCGACTACTACTTATACTGTACAGCATTGTGTGTTTACATTTATCTACGGCCTTGTGGATGCAATTGAGTCTCACATACATGTACATGAAATATTGCTTGTAGTGCGGTATCAGGTGTTAACATACAATGGGTAAATATTTTTCTCGCAATAATGACCGTATTCACCACAAGTGTGTTTATGTCCAGAGCCAACTCAAATCCTGTATTATTTAGGACCATGACAACAAGTATTCCGGGCTGAAATTCTTCTATGACAGGCATGAACACTTGCCTTACAATTGTTTGTGATTGTACGAAGTACATATTCCCTGTTGCATCAATTTTGCACCATTTACATTGCAGTGCCACTAGTGGTATCACCTGCATGTGTATTGAGTCAAACAATGTTCCCTCTGTATAATTATGCTTATCGTGGCTATCAAGAGCTTCAATGCAAATTCCCAGCTGACGAATGGTGTCCAGCTTGTGTTCAGCTCAGCTGGCACTCATAACTCACGATAATTGCGTTCTAGACGCCAGATGAGATGTTTCAGCTACAATGTAGACAAAAAGTCCGTGTTCAAGAAGATTTCCACCAAGCTCGCTAGAATCTTGCGAACCGTCAACATGCAGGCATTTCAAGTGTTCGAGCGTGCGTAGATTCTGCTCAGCCGCTCAAGAACATTCCCCACGCGAAAAAAGTCGATGAGAAAGGTGTAATGGTGGACGAAATTACGAAAATCGGAAGAAGGTATTCGACCCAGTTCGACTATCCTGGACTGGTTTGGCAACGTCCAACAATCGGATTCGTATTCTATGGGGTCTCATGAGCTAGTGTGCCAAAGGGCGTTTACTTGGAGCTTCAGCGCATCACCTTCTCCGAAAGAGGCCTTTTCTGAGATTTGGCCGATGGACCAAGACGAGGGTAGAAGGCTTACACTGCCTACACGATCTATAATGTAGGACGTGTAACTACAGTAAAACCTGGTGTAAGCGACCTCTGGGTTTAGCGACCACCTGCAACCGTATTTCCATGCACCGACAGTTCTACACAGACACTGTGGGACTTGGTTCTAAAGACCAACACCTTACTGGCTTTAACGACCGCTTTTGCTTGCAGTATGAGGTGGTCGCTTAAACCAGGTTTTACTGTGTAATGTACCTGCTTGTAGGTAGTAAAAGTGAAGAAACGTTTGTTCTCACGCTCGCGTCACCACTTGCGAGCTGTTTGGTTTTCTTGCTTTTACCCAACCGTTACATATTTGAATTCAGGCTTGTGAGTTTAGTATACTACAGTACTAGTGCAATATCTCCCTCGATCAGTATCACCATACTGTGCAATAGTACGCCACAACCTACAGGCCTGCTATTGGGATTCGAGAACACTTCCTTTCTTCCGCCGCAGAAATCATATAAAGGAATCTGAAAGTTACATGTAAAGGAGGCATTCCAGTTCTCCATTGTAGAACTTGAATGGCGCATAAACATGCACCAGTAAAGTGGAGAGGGTAAACGATACTACCAAAACAGAAAGAAGGCAATTGCACTGTAACAGTGTATGAGAAAGACACAAGATCAACAAACTACACATAACAACCATTCTAACGGGAGATGATCCTGTGGCGGTGCATGCAGCCATCTCTCCAACGTGTTGGAAAGAATCTGCTGACAGGTTGCGTCGGCAAGCGCAAGCGAAAGGCTTGACAAAGAAAGTGTCTCAGCGGCCTCGGGCGGTTAGGTGCAGTAGGTGTTCAATGCGTTCTGAAGGGTTATGCGTATGTCACCCAACGTCAAGCAAGTTGCTTCCAGCATGCCCAAGTTCCAGCATTGCAGATCGTAGTGGTATCTCGCAAGGTTCTTGTAAGAGGACTGCAGAGAGATTGAGAAAACAAACAAAAAAACATGGCATTTAATGCAGCCGCTACAAGTAATTTATAATAGAATTATGACAATGGTTATGATTGCGTCACGTGAGTTCTTTCAAAATCAGAACAACGGCTTACTATTCTAGAACAAGTCAAGTTCTCATGCATTCAAGCAATTAACGCATCCAGTCCAGGAGATACTTCCCATTAGTTATCAAACGCTTTCGTTCCCTTCTCTTCAGCGCTTAGAAGCATTATACATCCCTAAGTTGAATCCTCAGCGTTGTGTACAGAAAGGAAATGTGTTGTCCCTGAAATTGTTTAGTGCTACTCTTCGTCGAGGTGGGAACAATGGTGAGAACAATGGTGGGAACAATAGTGGGAACAATGGTGGGAACAATGGTGGGAATAATGGTGGGAACACTGGTGGGAACAATGGTGGGAACAATGGTGGGAACAATGGTGGGAACAATGCTTCATAATTTGTTCACTATGTTGGCTGTCGTTCGTCTCCTTCCCAAAGTAAAACTTGATAAATAATAATAATATCCCTTGTCACGAGTGTGGTATCTCAGTACATTTACGCAATACGTTGTAGTCATTCATTTTCATTCTTTTCCTTTATGATCCTGAAGAGAAGGGAACGAAAATTGATATCTGATGCGAAGTGTCTCATGGGCTGGGTTAGGCCTTGACGGATTATGCTAATATTTTCGTGAAATTATGCTTTTCGCATTGCTGAAAAAATTGCAGAATTATGCTATTTTTATGCTAAAAGTTATCATATTATGCCGCATTATGCTCACATATGCTGCTAATGCATAATGGTTCTGTGCAAAATAACAAGGGAATTTTTTTGTAGAGGGCGTTGTACTGTAGTAGCAAAAGTTCAACGGGCTCAACGCACCGTCCGACCTACATGTAGCTACGACCATCACTGATTGTAGTGGACGGGACATGTTATCAAGGGAGTCGTAAACCTACAACTTCCTAGTGCATCTACTTGTACTTGTAGAACATGTACAACTGTATGGAATTTGATGCGAACAGGCGGATTATTACAATTTTATGCGATTCGTGTGCAATTTGCCTCGAATTATGCGATTATTCGATTTTGGTAGGAATTATGCGAAAAATTATGCTAGCATAATCCGTCAAGGTCTAGGCTGGGTGCGTTAATTTTTAAGGCACTATACCTTTAGAAGGTCAAAAAATTAATGAAAATCTCTCAGAAAACGTCGAAAACTATCTCAAACGGTAGCTCTTGTGCTGAAGCACGACTCCTGAAGATTTGAGGGGGTTCGCTCAAAGGACTTCGGAGATAGAGCATTTCAAAGATCGATATAGATCTGCAAATTTCACAGTTTTGATTTTGAAATTGGTTCTTTTCGTTTTAGAACTCAATCAATCGTGTTATGATAAAAACCTTCCTTGATATAGTTCAAATTTTGTGGAAATCTCAGAAGCAGTGCGCGGAGTGATTTGGCGACCTCTAGCTAGCTCTGCGCATGGGTTTGGTTGCCATGACAACTGTCAGAGTGATTGCGCATGCGCAAATTCAAATTTGATTAAAAATTAATTAGTTGATGGAAACACTTTTGTTGTTTCGTTCTGTGACAATGGACCGTATGCGTGTTAAAACAAAATGGCGTCACGATTTATTGAAAGTGGTATAGTTGGTGGTACGAGTGTTCAAACCCATTTGAACTTCATACTGTTCGTCTTCTTTTTGACATGCTCTCTTTCCATCGTCCTTAGCTTTTGTTTGTTGAGAGCTGTTTTGGCTTTCTCCTATACCTCTGGGGGATGCCAAGTGATGGTTTTGAGAGGCTGGTGATGGCTGTGAGCGAGAGTTTGCCGATCGGCGTCGTCCTCGCTATAGCGATGAAAATACTAGTGACTGCGCACCTGGCAGATATCACAACACGTCGGAACGTCCAGGAGCAAAAGAATCTTGGGTTTTCACTGGAATCTAGTTCCTCCAGCATCGTGTAGCCCACCGTCTGTGAATGGTGGTCCAGAAAGGTCGAACCTGGTCTTCTGCAGCATCTCGCAGTTCTGCGAGGCACACTGAATACGCCTGTCATGTATTCTACAAATAAAAATCACGAAGTAGTGGACTTTACAGTGATGAGTCTATCCTGTATGCTGCAAAAGACGCAGGCATTGTTTTTCTATTGCGATGGGGAAGAAGCGAGCTCAAGGCCGACCAGGCAGACCCAGGAAGAGAAAATTTCATGGAAATCAACCGCTGAGAGCCGAATCGGAAGATGAAGCATGTGCGCCAGAAAATCTTGACGATTCTCTGCCGAATTTCAACGATTATTTGCCTTCTAGTTCTGATGATGCTGAGATTTCTTCCGAGGATGACCTGAGCACAAGCGATTCGAGTTCAGGATCCAGTTCAGACTCGGACGATGACAATGATGCAGAACTACCTCATGGATTCAGGCTCGTCGACTTGGTGTGCCTTCAAACTCTTTTGTTGGCTTCTGTGTGTTGCAAAATTTGTCATGGACCAGTCACTCTGAGTGAGCCGAAGAGGCAAGGGTTTGCATCCTGCCTGGAGCTGACCTGTCAAATCTGTGAAGCTCACACATCGCAGTATATGTCAGACAAACATAAGGTGTTTGGGTTGTAAACCAACGAGCTGTGTTTGGCATGCGCTGGATCGGTCGCGGGCACGGAGCAATGCTGAAGTTGGGAGCTGCTTTGAATATGCCTGTGCCCATCACCTTCTCCGCGATACCAAGGACATGCCAAGGTTCTACACAAATCGGCCAAGGTTGTTGCTGAGCATAGCATGAGTGCTGCAGGGACACAAGTCTTGGACAATGCACCTGGAGATGTCGTTATTGCCGACACTGCCTTTACGTATGACGGAACCTGGATGCGCAGAGGCTATGCATCGCTGTATGGTGTTTTTGTGGCCATGGCATGGGGCACAGGCAAAGTCCTTGACGTTAAAGTTCTATCCCGATTCTGCCACCAGTGCGCCCACTTCAAGAACCAGCATGCAAAGAAAGAGTTGACAAATGCTGAACTGCAGGACAAGCTGGACAACCATGAATGCCGTGCCAACACCCAGAGCTCAGCACCCGCAATGGAACGTGAAGCTGCCCTGAAGTAGTGAAGATATGGAGGAGATTCAGAGAAACGAGGAATCTTCAGTACAGTGTCTTTATAGGGGACGGAGGTACAAAGAGTTTCAAGGCAGTGCATGATCCATATCCATACGGCGAAGACGTGGAGATCACTAAGGAAGAATGCGTTAGTCATGTTCAAAAACGCGTTGGACATCGGTTGCGGAAGCTGAAGAAGGACCTCTCTGGGAAGAAGTTGGCTGATGGTGGCAGGATCAGTGGTCGTGGTCGTCTCACAGACCAACTTATAGACAAACTGCAAGCCTACTATGGTATGGCTGTGCGCAGCAACAAGGGCGACCTACAGTCCATGACCAAAGCCATATGGGCTTCCGTGATGCACCGAGTGTCAACTGATGAGAAGCCCCACCATCTGCACTGCCCACCTGGACTGGAGAGCTGGTGCAAGTGGCAGCAACAGCAAGCTGGCGGACCGCCTTACGAGCACCACAACGTCATACCTGAAGCAATCTTCTCTGTAATCAAGCCGATCTTCATGGACCTGTCCGCACGCCCACTACTCGAGCGCTGTATGCGTGGCGCCACACAAAACCAGAACGAATGCTTCAACGGAATTGTGTGGCAGCTCTGCCCCAAGACAAGCTTCTGCTCCGCTCTGACTGTAGAAACTGCAGTCTACATTGCAGCAAGCTGGTTCAACGATGATGCTGCAAGCATTGAGATGCTATTCTGCAAGATGGGTCTACCCGTAAGCAAATACACCGCCTCCACCAGTGTGCTGTTGGATGCCAAGAGAAGGTCAGGTGCAGCCAGAAAGCAGTTGGGGCACATCAAGCTGTCCAGGGAAAACCGCAGGAGGTTGAGGAAGGGTGGACAGGATGAAGCAGAAGAGATAGCAGGCACTCCCTATGTGGCAGGTGGTCACTAATACATCATCATGCTGTGAAATGCTGAGATTTGGAATGCCTTTTTTCTCCTATCTTCGGGGTGTTCCGCAGCTTCTAACCACGATTGCAGGATGCCAGTGCATGCCACACCCCACAATGTATATATTCTGAACTCTGTGACATGTTTGGCTAGGTGCTAAACCAATTGTTCCGTGCATTACTGCAAGTTTTATGATGTTTTTACCTCATTGAATGAGGCGTGGTCAATGTGCACGAATTTTTATATCTCTTGCTCTGGGTACTGTGTTTCTCCTTGTCAACAGATCAATCCTTTCTTTGGTTTAGCACATCAAGCTCTATAGTAGCAATTGTGTTTTGCAACTTGTTCCTCTCTTCTCTACATGGTTTTCTTCATTATGCGGTTAGAGCTCAGTATGCGTGATTTTTCGAAGAATTTCTAATTTGTACATAGAATGACCAGCTTGGTTCATTGGCATGTGCTCAGAGTGCGGTGTGATATGTTAGAAGAAAGCACAGAATATTTTGTACAATTCCAATGAGGGAGACTGAAGTTATGTCCCGTGCGCCGATGCCGGTCCGCGAAGGCATAGTTCGTGGATGCATGCGAACTCCACTTTTTCTAGAATTTGTTTCGCCTCCGAATTCCGTTGTAACGTCTTACTATTATTATTAGTTTTATTTAATTTTTTCTTCAGACTTTTCCCGTTTGTCTCTTTCCCTCAAACCAGTTAATATATTATTATTAGTATAATATTATTCATATACCAAGCTCAAAAATCGAATTGAAAGACGATGGATGGCACACGGATACTACACAGAACAGCAGGCTGCACACAACAGCAAAAGTAATGGTTGTGCGGCATGTTAATTAATAGTACAAGGTGCTCTTGATACACATTCTAGTGTGCAAATTGCCTTCGTTTCTTACCTACTGTTCGGCCAAAGCCTTACCGTGTTTTTCCAGGGACAATCACAAAGTGATTTGACAGACGGGAGCGCCTGGTGGAAACCCCTCTTATAACAGTGATACTTCAATTACTTGCTATAAAACCAACACACCACCACAATGATGATAATGTCGAACATGCCGTCTAAAACTGCACACCTTCCGAAGTTATGTTCTAAACGGGCATGGCACAAAAATCTCAAACCAATCTGATTTTTTGCACAAAATATTATTAATATAATTGTGATGACGTCTTCGAGAAGCTGAGAGAAAACTGACGTGTGCCAAACGTCCTACTGTGTGCATACTCTAACATGTACCTGTAATATTTTACTGATCAGTAGCATGCACTAGTACGACTTCATGAATAATAGCAGCCTAGGATAGTTGGTTTGGCACGAAGGTAGTAAAGTAGTACATTTTGCATAAGTAACTAGTTAGTTGTGTTTTGCGGAACTGAATGCTACATGTATGCCTTAGGTTATCACTATACTAGTGTAGGGTTTCATTTTGTCAACTACATTGCAAGCTTGTTAGGTTTCTCACACTTGCTTTACTTGCGAAACCTTTCAGATATTGTAGAATAAGAGTGTGTGTAGCAGTGAGTTTTCCTCTCTCGCTGTAGAATTTTAGATTCTTGTCGAAGAAGTGAAGAATTGCGTGTACTATTACTACAAGACTTGTTGCGTGTTGTGCGTGCGGGTTGAGATCACCGCGAGGGTTCTCACCACTTACCATTGGCCGAGGGTACCGACGACGCTGTAGTGATTGCGTGTATTGGAAGCTGAAGCCGGGGACTAGGGTCATCTGGAGCCAAACAAAAGGACATCGAAATAAAATGTACACAACTGCACCGGAAAATGGTAGAAGTGTGGAAGAATGCTGGGCTATGGGACCTGACGATGGAGCTGATAAACAATCTACAACCTAGGTTCAAACTGTTAGTAGGCCTTAACACAAATGGGCCAGCCGAAAAATTCCCCGAAAACGAGACTTATCGAAAAATTGCTGAGCCTTTCGCCGATTTTGGAGGGTTCCTTTGAAAATCGCCGAAAACCTGCCAAATATTGTTACAAAATGCGTTTAAATGCCGCAAGGAGAATACGGTTCTCCCTGCAAGAGTAGCACGGATGCCAACACAAAGAAGAATTCCTGCCCACCTGTGCAGATTTTGGTAAAGTGCAGAGGAGACATTGTGACGGAGCGATGTGGAAAGGTTATCGTAACTTATCGAGAATGTGCAAACCAATTATTTCATAGTCAGGGAATGGAGTGAGCAGTTCGTGCTTGTTTCAAATGCAGCCGCCAACACAGACAGAAAAATCTTCTGGCAATGATCCTGTAGCTGTGTAATGTCGTAGTGTTAGACTTATTCTGGCACGCCTATTCATATTTTATCGTAAGAGACGGAATTTTCACAGCTGAATATTCTCTTGGCTCTTCTCCAGGAAAGAAAAAGCGAAGGCCGAGAGTAACTGCTCGTGTCGTTCTGAACTTGTTCGCCAGGATAAGTTCATAGTTGTTTGCTCCTGATATTCGTCAAATTACTCTGGGACTCGCTAATGACCTTATCAGCTGAAGACCTGGAAGAGGACAGTCCATTGGGACCAGCTCCGTCTCGTTTTGGCCAGTGTGCCAACGTGTTCTGGGGAGCTCCTCACTTTCTTCCAGGTTTCAAGATCTACTTGAGTAACATTTCTCAACCAGCTGGCCGTATACACATCCGTACAGTTACAGGGTTGAAGGAGCACTTGGCAGCCAAAATGGAAGGATACACCCGGGTATATTCGGAACCCGGTATGCTATCATCGGATAGCTTACAACCAAGCCCAGCCCTCTCTGAGATCGATATTCGATCCAAGCTGGTGTTTCAGTTGCCAGGAGATGTACATGTACATTCACCGGTGCAAATTGGTCATATGGGTGCGAAGGTTACTTCGCGCAAAATGCCTGATTCTGGTCGTCGATGGGGATCGGTTTGCGCCGACCCACGAACAAGCAATATATTCGTCAAACTGCTCTGGGACTCGCTAATGACCTTATCAGCTGAAGAGCTGGAAGGGGACAATCCATTGGGACCAGCTCCGTCTCGTTCTGGCAAGTGTGCTAACGTGTTCTGGGGAGCTCCTCACTTTCTTCCAGGTTTCAAGATCTACTTGAGAAACATTTCTCAACCAGTTGGCCGTATCCACACCCGTACAGGTACGGAGTTGAAGGAGAATTTGGCAGCCAAAATGAAAGCCCAGCCCTCTCTGAGATCGATATTCGATCCAAGCTGGTGTTTAAGTTGCCAGGAGATGTACATTCACCAGTGCAAATTGGTCATATGAGTGCGAAGGATACTTCGCGTGAAATGCCTGATTCTGGTCGTCGATGGCGATCGGTTTGCGCCGACCCACGAACAAGCAAATATTCGTCAAACTACTCTGGGACTCGCTAATGACCTTATCAGCTGAAGATCTGGAAGGGGACAGTCCATTGGGACCAGCTCCGTCTCGTTCTGGCCAGTGTGCTAACGTCTTCTGGAGAGATCCTCGCTTTCTTCCAGGTTTCAAGATCTACGTGAGCAACATTTCTCAACCAGCTGGCAAGTGTGCTACTGTGTTCTGGGGATCTCCTCGCTTTCTTCCAGGTTTCAAGATCTACTTGAGTAACACTTCTCAACCAGCTGGGCGTATACACATCCGTACAGTTACAGAGTTGCAGCAGCATTTGACAGCCAAAATGGAAGGATACACCCGGGTATATTCGGAACCCGGCATGCTATTGTAATACGTAGATCTCGTTTCACCCATGCATGTCCTCCATTCTCCTCTCGCCCTATAAAACCTGCTGTAATTTACTTATTTCTTCACAATTACAACTGTAACTGTAACTGCATTGACAACAGAACTGAGAAGAAGAGTTGCTCTCCAGGTGTGCACCGGGGTAAGTTCCTTTGTTGCCTTCTCTTTCTTGCCTCCTCCACTCGCCTGCGCATTACATTGGTGGCAGCGGTGCGTGATTTGAACCCTGTAGATCTACTGTTTACGCAACTTCCTTCTTGTTGTTACCGTCCTTTCTAGTTGAAGTAGCTTAGTCGATCGTTCACGTTATGGCTCAACCTGCTGCTGCATCGTATAGCTTACAACCAAGCCCAGCCCTCTCTGAGATTGATGATCGGTCCAAGCTGGTGTTTCAGTTGCCAGGAGATGTACATTCACCGGTGCAAATTGGTCATATGAGTGCGAAGGTTACTTCACGTGAAATGTCTGATTCTGGTCGTCGATGGCGATCGGTTTGCGCCGACCCACGAACAAGCAATCATATTCGTCAAACTACTCTGGGACTCGCTAATGACCTTATCAGCTGAAGACCTGGAAGGGGCCAGTCCATTGGGACCAGCTCCGTCTCGTTCTGGCAAGTGTGCTAACGTGTTCTGGGGAGCTCATCACTTTCTTCCAGGTTTCAAGATCTACTTGAGAAACATTTCTCAACCAGCTGCCCGGATACACATCCGTACAGTTACAGAGTTGAAGGAGCACTTGGCAGCCAAAATGGAAGGATACACCCGGGTCTATTCGGAAACCGGCGTGCTATCGTCGTATAGCTTACAACCAAGCCCAGCCCTCTCTGAGAGAACGATATTCGATCCAAGCTGGTGTTTCAGTTGCCAGGAGATGTACATGTACATTCACCGGTGCAACTGGGTCATATGAGTTCGAAGGTTACTTCACGTGAAATGCCTGAGTCTGGTCTTCATATTTTTGTGTCCGAGTTACATGTGCGGTGGGTTGTTTGACATTTCATGTGGACTCCTTAAAATGTAATCTGTAGTGAAGCGGCACGCGAGTAAGTTTGTGGCCCCTCTACATTTTCGCCCATACGCATTTCTTGCGCTTCCAAATCACATTACGTCATAATATGATAGTCAAGTATGTTGTTAGAACGTTGTCCTTGTGGTTCTCCTACTCTTTACTGATAAGTTTTTGTTAGTCCCGCAATCCCCATTTCCTTGTCCATGTGTGTTCTTCAATCGTCTTTGCGTTGCCGTCAGTTGGTCTACAACAATTTTCTTCACCATAATTATCTGTTCCTTTCCTTGTGTGGATTAAGTGTATGTTGTTTTTCAACCTGGAATGTTCACGTTGTGATATCTTATAAAGAGAGTTGTATATACATTAGCCATTAGTAAAATCCCCAAATCGGAGGGGGGGGGGGGGGGCAAAAATTCTCCGAAAACGAGACTTACCGAAAGATCTCTAAGCCTTTCGCCGATTTTGGAGGGTTTCTTTGAGAGTCGCCGAAAATCTACCAAATCTTCCAATATCTCACCAAACTTGAAGCCAATAATTATGCCAACAATTCTTTTAGTCGATTTCCCAATATAATTCCAATTTTTCAGCCGATTTTCAAACAATCAGCTAATTTTGCAGCCAAATCTGATGTATTTTTGAGCTTAGCGAAAAGCCAAATAGGCGAAAAAACGGGCCGATTTGGGGAAAGCCTACCTGGTTGTATAGCGAGTAGGTTTTTTCTGTCCTGGTTTGTGATATTATACTGTTGCCTTAGGTACCTCCTTGAGAAGCTGCAAGTACATGTAGCTGCCCAGGGCCTTTATCTTGCATTCGCTCTCACTCGATCTCTTCCTCTTTCATCGTGCAGTCGCCTTTATCTCCTTTTCCTCGCCTCCCGTAACGAGAGATCTTGGAAGCTCAGGACCCTACGCTATGCTTTTTTGCCTAGCTCATCATGCATGTTGTTATTAGAACTGATGGAAATCTTTTTTTTCCATTGATTGCCTGCATCATTGTATTGCAAAATGTTTGAATCAGTTTGAATATGAGTTAGGCAAAAGTAATTGCAGAATTTATTGCGGATTGTTATTTTCTTTCATGCAAGTGAGATTGGAAGGTTTGTTACAACTCTGAGTTTCACGTATTACCACAATCATCAGGCAACTGATGGTATTTTCTCTCACTTCATCCACTTTTGGTTTGTTCCTTCTTTTCCTTTTTATCTCAATTTAATCGGATTTTCTGGCCTTTTGAGCCAATGAGGTAAGATTATATTCCATACAATACAATAATACAATAATGCCCTTGCCTTGATAGTGTGCTTGTGCTTAAAGGGGAAGTATACACTAAAATCAAATTTTCACCAGTTGTAGTCTTCGGGGTGCTGAGTCGAATGGTCTTGGTCCGAGGAAGCTGAGACGCTCCCTTCCTCCTTTATTCCCAATCGAACTCCCACACTTCCACCGAAACTGGGTGACTGCGCCCTACTAGATGGGGATTTGTATGCAAAATGTCACTAAAAGCGCCATTTCGTTCTTATAAAAGAACGGATGACCGCCATTGGCCCATATGTTGTAGTCTTTTGGACGCTGAGTCGACTGGTTTTGGTCCGAAAAGGCTGCGATGCAGCGTTCCTCCTTTGTTCCCAATCGAACATGGTTGAACAAGCGGTCACGTGCTCCTGCGTACACCAGTCACCTGGTCACCGTGCCTGCAGGGTACAACTTACTAGCCTGTTTGACCTTTTTTGGGTGCAGTCCTGTCACTCGAGTTGAACTCGAGTTGAACCTTGGTGTGAAAGTTGTTGCCTGCTGGCGCGGTGACCAGGTGATTTGGGCACCCAGGAGCACGTGACCGCTTGTTCAACCATGTTCGATTGGGAATAAAGGAGGTACGCTGCATCGCAGCCATTTCGGACCAAAACCAGTCGACTCAGGGTCCAAAAGACTACAACATATGGGCCAATCGCGGTCATCCGTGCTTTTATAAGAACGAAATGGCGCTTTTAGTGACATTGTGCATACAAATCCCCATCTAGTAGGGCGCAGTCATCCAGTTTCGGTGGAAGTGCGCGAGTTCGATTGGGATTCAAGTAGGAAGGGAGCGTCGCAGCTTACTCGGACCATGACCATTCGACTCAGCACCCAGAAGACTACAACTGGTGAAAATAATAATTTGATTTTAGGGTATGCTTCCCCTTTAACTGTTGCTGACGGTCGAATGCATGGTTGCCTGTGGAGCACATTACATAACTTTACAGTCCCCTTTAACACGCATCCTGTCCGACGGTACAAGACTGTCAAGAGGCTGCAGGTGTAGTATTTCTGCACCTTATCAGCAATGACTACTGGTCTTCAGCAACGAGGGTCTCCCATAATACGCATCCTGTCTATGCTTTCGTAATGCTAACATAATGCTCGGGATAGCACTCGCTACTGATCTTCAGAAACTTGGCCTGACTATCACTCACAATAAGACTATTGCAAAAACACGAAGGAGCGGCGCATTTCAACGAAACAACTGGTAAAGGAAAGGGATCCAGTAAAGCATCTGCTGGAGCAGACGGCACGCCAGGTCACGGAGCAAGCGGGAAGAGCACGGTTTATGAGACGCACATAGCCCAGAACAAACTAATATAATTATTTCGTTAATCCTTCCTGTCCCAAGTTGTTCCGCTGTGTCTGCGAGTGTGATCCTTCTGGTCACTCAACAATACAATTTTTGAAATGGGCTAGCATTCGATTGCCCGAAAAACACCACAGTAATGTTCCAGTGTCTGCTGTACAAGAACACAATTTCATGGTCATTTACACTTTCGCTACCTGGGTAGCATACCTCTCCTCTCGTCGCACAGCTCTTCTTTAAAGAGAGAGATGTGCGTTGTTAGAATGTTTTTGTGCCCTGAGGTTACGGCATTAGGCCTTGACAGATTATGCTAATATTTTCGTGAAATTATGCTTTTCGCATTGCTGAAAAAATTGAAGAATTATGCTATTTTTATGCTAAAAGTTATCATAATTTTTATTATGCCGCATTATGCTCACATATGCTGCTAATGTACAATGTACTGTACATGTAATGGTTCTGTGCAAAATAACAGGGGAATTTTTTGTAGAGGGCGTTGTACTGTAGTAGCAAAAGTTCAACGGGGTCAACGCACCGTCCGACCTAGCTACGACCGTCACTGATTGTAGTGGACTGGACAGGTTTTCAAGGGAGTCGTAAACCTACGACTTCCTGGTGCATCTACTTGTACTTGTACTTGCAGAACATGTACAACTGTATGGAATTTGATGCGAACAGGCGGATTATTCCAATTTTATGCGATTCGTATGCAATTTGCCTCGAATTATGCGATTATTCGATTTTGGTAGGAATAATGCGAAAAATTATGCTAGCATAATCTGTCAAGGCCTATACGGTAGGCCTTGACGGATTATGCTAGCATAATTTTTCGCATAATTCCTACCAAAATCGAATAATCGCATAATTCGAGGCAAATTGCATATGTTAGGTACCTCCTCCCGTACCTTTTCTAGTTGGCCTGCATGCACTTACGTACTCACCTTTTGTCTCCTTTTGTTCCGTTGGCCTGGGTAGCTACTTGCGCGCCCATACTTGCCATAGCTACCCAGGCCCTTTATCTTGCCGTTCAGACTTGATCTCTCTCTCTCTTTTCTCACTCGTCAATAATCACCATGTAGTCGTTTCGTTCGTCTTGGTCTCTTGTCTCGTCGTCTATAATAAATGTCGTTCCCACTAACTTGTTCCCGTTGTCAGTCGTCCTGTTTCGAACTCAACATTGGCGCCCGATTATTGATCGACCCACGACCCTGAGATCATCCCATGCCCAGCCGTCCTCAACCACCATTCGTCTCGTCTATGTCAACCTCGTCTCGTCCATGTCAGTCTCGTCTCTCCTACGCCAACCTCGTCTCGTCTCTATCAACCTCGTCTCTCCTACGCCAACCTTACCTCGTCTATTCTCGTTCAAGCCATGCAGGTCAGCTACCTTTCTCTCTTTCTTTTTTTTTGTATTCTTCTTCGTCAAATTTATTTTCGTGAATTTTTTTTGTAGTGTGTGCGCGCGCGTGTGTTCGTAAAACATAACCAAGTTAGGGGTCCGATCATGGTGAGCCACGCTCTAATTTTTGGATGTTTAGCAAAAGTGTAACTAGGCTGTATTAGCCGTGCAAAATACTAGTAATTCACGTTCCTCGTCAAACTCCAATAGTTATTACACACAATAAGTAGTACAGGAATGATGTGTACCAGTGCATTTTTAGTACACACTTTCGTGAGATCCATGCGCGCGTGCAGTATGTGTGTGTGTGTGTGTGTGTTTTCTCCTCCAGTTCATTTTTTTAAATCTTTTTCCCTCTTTTTTTTCTCTCCGCGAGGACGCGGGATTTTTTTCATGGAGGGGTTGTATGTTAGGTACCTCCTCCCGTACCTTTTCTAGTTGGCCTGCATGCACTTACGTACTCACCTTTTGTCTCCTTTTGTTCCGTTGGCCTGGGTAGCTACTTGCGCGCCCATATTTGCCATAGCTACCCAGGCCCTTTATCTTGCCGTTCAGACTTGATCTCTCTCTCTCTTTTCTCACTCGATAATCACCATGTAGTCGTTTCGTTCGTCTTGGTCTCTTGTCTCGTCGTCTATAATAAATGTCGTTCCCACTAACTTGTTCCCGTTGTCAGTCGTCCTGTTTCGAACTCAACACATACGAATCGCATAAATTGGAATAATCCGCCTGTTCGCAACAAATTCCATACAGCTGTACATGTTCTACAAGTACAAGTACAAGTAGATGCACCAGGAAGTCGTAGGTTCACGACTCCCTTGGTAACATGTCCAGTCCACTACAATCAGTGACGGTCGTAGCTACAATAGACCCTTTGCACAATAACGGTCACGTGATCCGAGACGGGGCATCCTCTTCGATTTTTGTGCAGAGTATCAGTTGTTGAGCATGGTGGAACACTGTATTTTTCCATTTTGGAGATGGAGGAGAGAGTGTCGAGTGGTTTGCCATCGATGGCTGTGGAACCCGTGGACGAACTGTCAAATGAAGAATGGTCTGTGAAGGAACTGAACAGTTTTCTGCTGAATGAGGGTGCGTATCTGTCTGGAAAAAGAAGGAGTCGTTGGAGCGGTAAGTTTTTCGCATTCAGTGGATATTTCTGATTACTGTAGATTGAACTATTTTTCTTTTCTCTACATTCTCTCCTCTGTCGATGTAGAGAACACTTCTCTATGCAGAACCCTGATGCTCCTAGAACTAAGAAGGGCACCACTTCCTCGAGTGTACCTTCATCATGCCCAACGTTTCATGCGTCCGACTCCCAGTGGATGAGTGATGAACCTCTGTTTCCCAGAGTGAGTGCCACACCATCCTTGCTCGTCTCCAACACAGGGGCAAGTCGCCGACGACAGTGAAGAGGGAGCTGATGGAGTAGTACTAGTGAACAAGCCCGTGGATAGTGTCCATGAGTTTTACTTTGGTGGCTATGTGCATAATGTGAAAGTCGGTCATATCGTGCACACAGCCACAGCTCGAAGTCAGATGACTTTCTCCGCACACCTGAGCGATGAGGCTGCGTCTCTCTCCACTTCAACATCAGCAGCTCGAGCAGCGCCAGCAAGCAGTCGATCTTCCAATAGCGAAGACAGGGATGGGTCATGCCTTTTTCTCAAGCTCCAGAGTCTCTTGGCAGGGCGTTCAATATCTTAGCAAAAACAAGGATGAAAATCGTTCCGAGCACAACACTGTGAACGATATCGCAGCACTGCGGCCCTCTTCTCGCCAGATAGCCAGGATTCCAGAGTGTGGAATGCCAGCATCACCAGGGAACGCATTACATGGAAAGACGAGTGGGTTCCTTAGACTAACGTTAGGGATGACGGTTGCTGCAAACAAGAACCCAACAGTGGTCCTTGGAAAGCACTTCGAAACTTCTTCCTTCAAAACTAAAAAAACTTCAAATGAAAAAAGGCTGGGGAGTACATACATGAACATCGCGTCGGGACCGTGAAAACACAGCCTGTCACAGGAAACTTGATCACGTCCTGCAGCAAACCATGCATGCTGGTTGCATGCCAAGTGTGCAGCGCGTGCGCAGCATGCCCCGTCTCGACCCCTCTCGCTTATTGTGCAAAGGGTCTATTGTAGGTCGGACGGCGCGTTGACCCCGTTGAACTTTTCCTACTACAGTACAACGCCCTATATAAAAAAATCCCCCCCTGTTATTTTGCACAGAACCATCATATACATTAGCAGCATATGTGAGCATAATGCGGCATAGTATGATAACTTTTAGCATAAAAATAGCATAATTCTGCCATTTTTTCAGCAATGCGAAAAGCATAATTTCACGAAAATATTAGCATAATCCGTCAAGGCCTACTATACGGCATAATGCATAGGGACAATAGGGTCTCTAAAATTCTACATTTAATTTCTATAAGCAGCCAGCATACATACCATGTTGTTGAGTGATTTTTGAATATCAGCCATTTCGCCTCCAATTTTCGTGAAGGGACCATTGTCAGCGACGTTAGGTGCGGCGTTCAGGATAGCCTTATAGGTATTGGCTACGCCGTAGTAGTTTCGGTCTTGAGTGGTCTTGAGCACCGACAGAATCGCGCTGTACTGAGCCAGCAACGGTTGCTATGGAGACGAGAAGAATCGCACAAAGTAATTGATTAGCTCAATGCACAAGCATCACTGAGGACGAAGGTGAGACAAAACAGGAAACTAAAAGCAGTCAAAAAGAGCAGAACATATTCATTTTGACTCGGACACTGAGCCAATAACTATAGTTTAAAACTTTAAATAGAGGAAATCACGTGGAAATGAGTTATGAAGCAACTATCTACGACTGTAACAAGATAATAAGCTGTCAGAAAGTGCGATAGCAGGGGACAACACTGACATGTAATTACTAGGACTCCAGTGCGCAAACCAACATTCATTTTGAGTAGTTATTACTTCGGACAGTGAAGCACACCACTTGACTACGAGTAGTCATTACACATACATTGTGATGGCTAAAAAACGAAGGGTAATAGCAGAAGGAGAGGGTGAGTAAAAGGGCGGGTGCAGATAAATAGTGAGATAGTGTGAGTGTACCATTCAGTGCGACAAAAGAAAGTTCTGAAAACTAACTTCATTGCTTTAGTAATGTGAAGATGTGGAGTCAGTTTAACTCGTTGGTCTATTTGATAAAATTCTGTCTACTTTCGTAATAATTATAAGAAGGGAATAAAGTCCACTGCACAAGTAAAAATAGCTGATCTTCAGTCAAGTGTTTAGCGCGTCAGTTCCTTAAGGATTGATTTGCTGTTGTCCTGTTCACCATTGCAGCCGGCATCTCTGACTGACCAAAAAATCCTCTAAAACCTTTTTATATTACAGTTCTTGTGCAAGCTCACCTGAACAATGACGGAAAGAGCTCAATCGAAAAAAAGAGCACTATTTTTATATAATTATGCGCTTAGAATTATATTTGTCTTGGATGGAACTTCAAAATAGTTTCACCCAGTATCAAGCGGAGAATGCTTCCGTCCACGTGAAAACTTACGGTTTGTAGTTCGGCTGGTGTAACTGATCCGCGTGGCATATATATCTGCGTTGCGATCGAAACTGAAGGCAGCTGTAAAATTGAATAGGAAACGAAAGGTTTGGCAACAATGAGCGGTGGTTAAACGTTGCAGATAGAGGCATATTGTCAAGAGGCATATTTTCAACGCAAACCTTTTTCCAACAGTACATCGTAAAGTCATGACGTGTAGGCCTGCTATCCCCCTTACACATTCGTTTCCTTCAATCTCGGGTAAGCCACTCTTCTAGAGTAGGAATCTACACGTATAAAGTAACTCAGCTTGTATTTCTCTGCAACATCATTCATTCACGACACCCATTCAACGTCTCGTGGTGACGTGGTCTCTTTAATTTACGGATATGCTAGGTTAAAAAAACACAGCCGTCTCAAAGCTCTGACAAGACCAACAACTAGTAGATTCGTTTTCTTTACTGTAAAAGCCACATATATAACGAAGTGCTAACTCTAACGAGTTAACGAGGAGAAATCTGTCGTTAAAATGGAAATCGTTATACAGAAATCGATACATAATCATATACTGTCCTATTGAGCGTTAAGTGAGAATCGTTACCTTTGGTACACGTAAACCAATCAATTTGGAGAAAACGTTATTATATGCGCCTCGTTAGAATAATGACTTTTACAGTATACTATAGTGATGATGTCCACATTCGAGGGGGTCAGTAGCGAGCGCCTTGTCGACCTCCTGGTATCAGAGTCTTTCGCTAAAAGAAAAGTTTCCTAGTTGATATTGAACTCAGATAGTGAGCCATGGAAAACATTTAGCATGGGAATATGTGCAAGTTAGGTTTGTAACGGGTTTCCATAAGCTCGACTCCATCTCGCATGGATTGCCGCGAAGTGAAACAAGCCTAAATTTAGCTCCATGTACATAGAAAAGCGCAAACTAGCACAGTACCTTTCTGTAAGCATCCTTGGCCTCGCACACGAACGTTCTGGTCAGCGTAACCTGGCTATAGGCATGACCAGTTGCCTGGCAAATAGCTTTGTCGGCGTCTAGAGCATGTGACATTCCAAAGACGCTAACTAACAAGACGGCTACAGGCAGCATAACGGATGAATATGCCATAGTGAAATAGGTGCGAGGAGATGAAGGAACAAAGGGGGTTCAATATGTTAGCTGGACGAAATTTGTCAACGTTCTTGCTCGCTACGAGTCTGATACTAGTATCAGTTCAGCTGCAGCATGGACATTTAGTTTAGAGTAACTGCTGCATAGGCTGACGTAGCACTAGCTTCGAAACCTTTTTACTGTTTTAGCCAGCTACTGTTGGTAGCTGTTCCTCGACCCATAGCCTGTACTCGTGACACATCATCACAGGTATCAAGCCAAGAGTCCATATCCCCAACAATGTGCAATTAATTTGAAAAAGAGAGTGGTACAATTACAAGGGCACCGAACGTGTACGTCATTTTTTTACGTAATGTTCAAATTCCGCCGCGCGGATCCCCTTCTACAGAGATAGATTTGCACGCTCTTGAGGTTATGGACTCTTGGCAGTCTTGCTCATGTCAGGCGCTCAGCACGCTACCATGCGTGGCGCGTTCCTTCGCAAGACAGTATCTGAACGGGGGAGGCACTGGAGCCTCTCTGTCACAGCATCTGTATCACCCACACACAAATGTTTACTAGCACTAATGTCCACAGACTTGAGTATTATGCTCCCTAGCGTCAGAAAATGTCGTCAGGTTGAGCACTCTTACCTTAGCGCGAACCCTTGCCGCTCGCCTTGTGCAACGCTCACTGCTCTTGGAGCATTTCCAGCACTCTTGGCGGGGTTTGCAGCTCTTTATATAATTATGCTTTCCTTTACGGAAACGTATTTCATTGCGAAGAGCTGCGCTTCGGTCCTGTGAGCTGTGCTGATGAGCTCTAACAGAGCGAAACAGTTGCTGTCCACAGACTTGAGTAGCACTAATGTAGTATTATTGTTTCGCAAATTCTGTAGCTATACATACTTTGCTTCGTGAAATCCGATACAAAGTGAAAAACTGGCGCCGCCGGCGCCCTGTACCAGTTATGATCATATCAGTGAATTTTTTGCATGTGTGCAACGTGTACGGTCAGGACTGGTGCCCTTTCCTTGACGTCAAAGGTCGTGCAAATAAATTGAGGGCGCCAATTAAGCAGTCTGTGTCGGATTTCACCGAGCGTAACTGTTGTATAGTGAGCATTGAAAAATCAAAGCCACCGCATGATGTATTATGTGGAACGAGAATCTATATTGCACGAGCTGTATGCGTGAACCCTCCTTCCCAGAACAATCAAAGGTGAGCTTACCCCGTGTACGCGTACCGTTGATCGTTCTGAGAAGAAGGATCCACGTCTTATAAGACGTACGTGACATATCAGTGGAGAGTACTAGTCATTACTAATACTAGTAATAGTACTAATACTAGTATGCCGTCGATGTTCTCGCAAAACATCCATGCAAGATGGTCTTTGCATGCAGGCGAACCTAGTTGCTGTACTGTAGACGTGCATGAGCTGATCTCACACGCACCACTACGCACTAGACTAGTGCACTTACTTGAAATAGGAGGTGGCTAGTGATCAGTACGTAGACAGTATGTAGTGGCGGGGCGGGTTTCATGGCAAACTGCCAGCCGTCACCACACTGTCGGCAGATGACTTGTAGTTGTACTCCTCAGATTTGACTTTATAAATTATACTAGACAAGCACACAGACAAGCACAGACATTGTGACATGCATAAAAACATGCGGTTCTAGAAGCACAAATCGAGATGACAGCATGCAGTACATGATTATCTCACAAAAGACAAAGACGATTAAGTGCATCATTTTAGCTCTCTCTCTCTCTTTGGTGTATAACCAGACAAAAGCAAACACTACACTGCTTTGCCTCAATGAGTTCCTGAATTGATATGATGATGCTCAGTCAACTAACAACGTGCTCAGGATCCCCACAACCATTATTATCTTACAAGTCGAGTGCAAGTGGCGCTTTGCAATGACTGCTGGAGTTCCGCGTGGACAGTTAGTTACTAGTATTTGCAACAGTAGAGAACCGTGTACAAGGCTATGTTACGACGCAGGTACCCTAAATCTCAGTTCTGAAACCGTGCGCAGAGCCGTCCGATAGAAAATTACTAGGTTCAAGGCGTTTACGTTCAACGGTCTTTGCTGGGTTGACAGGTACACCACAGTTCAGTTGTTAGAGCATCGCTGGCCTCGGGAGCAAATCCCTGGTTCAAGTCCTGGTAGTGACAGTCAATTTTTCTCCAGACTATTCCCTTTTAAATTTTCCAATCCCTCAACCAGTGAAATTTGTTTTTAGTGTTACATTGTATTTTCACCCACGTAGCGGTATCCACCGCCGCGCCGTCGAGGTGTACAATCTTACACGCTGCATATCAGTAACCATGCTTATGTAATGGGTAGCCGAGTGGTAGGCGCGGTGAAATCAACAAGAATTACCTTTATTCTACTTCTTTCAGGTACACACCTGAGATATAATTATTAGTGAAAGAAGAAACAGCAAAATAACTGACTTTCTCTCCGGTGCTCACCTGGAGGTTGAATAGCTCGTTATTATCAAAATCTCATCTTCATCAAAACAGAAATGCGCAGCCGCTTTTATGCAGCAGCTGCCGTACGCTTACATACGGAGATACACTAAAATATACATCAGGCAAAGCTCCGTATTAGTTCCGTACTGCTTTCGTATTGGTCGGGCAGGGATACTACACCCTCCCTTCCTACAGATAATCACGCCCACGTGATTTTCAAAAAATTAGTGAAGAGTTACGAACACAGCGTCAACCGGAAGATGGCAAATTATATCGGAAATGATAACGTTTAGAGTAGACAGAAGAAATGAACTGATAACAAATCATAAAGTAGAAGTAAAAGCACACCAGGTTCACACCATCTCACGGGGTCAAAAGGGGAAAGAACTGTCCTCCAAATAGGACCTGAAAAACTACAGCACTCTTGCTGCACAACGCTGGCACAACCCGCCAGGAACATCGCAGTTCAAAAAACCTAACTGAATACACTATAACTATAAGGGGCGTTGTCACACACATTGTCCCACGTTAGCTGGGTAAGCCGTGGCTCACCATGATCAGACGCCTACCAAACTAAACTGGATTCACACACTCGCATAAAGGAAGACTGAAGAGAAAAGGGAGACTGAAGGAAGACAGGAAAGAAAATGCCATACCTGGAATCAGCGTTAGTAACCACGGCGGCGGCTGGAGCTATGGCCAGTATTGGCGGAGGGCGAGCTAGGTTTTATCTTTATCTTGGTTGGACCGGTCACTCAGAGCGGCTAGCTCGGCGTCAGACAGATCACTCCCTCCTCGTCTTGAATCATGGTCTTCACATTGTCGATAGCATCGCTTGGCGCAACGTAAAGAGTGATGGTCTAGCCAGGAAGAGTGTTGACGAAATTCTGCATTCCACCACGGAGACGAAGTACCAAGTGAATAGTGGACTCCTGCTGAACGTTGTAGTCACTCAGGGTTCGGCCGTCTGCCAACTACGCGCCGGCAAAAATCAAACGCTGCTGGTCTTGGGGAATACCCTCCTTGTCTTGGTCAGCAGCCTGCATGTCGTCGTCCTCATCAGCTTCGCCATCATCACCGGTAGTATACATGTAGGTAGCGGGTTGCTTGGAATCGCCATCGGAGTCTCCAATGGATGCCGTGCGGAAAGAATGGTGATCCACGTTAGCACCCTGACTGTGCTGCAGGCTAATAAGCATGGCCAGGCCCAGGAAAGCATGAAACACGATTCTCATCTTGAGTCGTCGCACGGAGCTGCAGCGGGTTGAGCCATGGGGATCTGGGGTCGAATCACGTTGTTTTATTTTACAAAAACACACCGCTGCCACCAATGTAATAGGTAGCCGAGTGGTAGGCGCGGTGAAATCAACAAGAATTACTTTTATTCTACTTCTTTCAGGTACACACCTGAGATATAATTATTAGTGAAAGAAGAAACGGCAAAATAACTGACTTTCTCTCCGGTGCACACCTGGAGGTTGAATAGCTCGTTATTATCAAAATCTCATCTTCATCAAAACAGAAATGCGCAGCCGCTTTTATGCAGCAGCTGCCGTACGCTTACATACGGAGATACACTAAATATACATCAGGCAAAGCTCCGTATTACGGGCATACAAAGGCGAAGTCACGCCTCTGCCCGGGCGCCCGTGTCAGCACAGCCGGCGGCGATATGCTGCAAAGACTGTAAGTGTAAGTGGCTCCTTGCTCACTACAATGACTATCTTAGTAGTACAGTAGTGTTCGAGTAAGCTTTAGAGGGATTCCTGTGAGATTCACAGGTGATAAAGACAGCGAGTGGGAAGATACTAGCTGGCAGTGCTAGGGGCAGTACAGTGAGTGCTAAGCCTAAGGCAGTAAGGACTAAGGGGTTGATGTCATGAGAAACAGACTCAGTAGTACACACAGCTACAGACAGTGCGGCGGAAACCTGTGTGTGTGTGTGAGCCACTCGAGTACTCGTACTGCTGATGACATTTTTGACTGAGTTGCGACTGCGTGCTGGTACTACCTATTGTACTAGTACAGTGCTGATCAATGAAATCCAGTCGCGTCACTCAAGTTTGCGCCTTGCACCATTTCGCAGACCAGTGTTCGCAGGTCTAGGGCTGCGCAACGCCCGGCGCGTACTTGAGTGACGCGACTGGATTTCATTGAGCAGCACTGTAGTATGCGAGTAAGATTCACAGGGATTCCTGTAAGATTCACAGGGGCTATACCCGGCTAGGGGATAAAGACAGTGAGTGGGAAGATTATACTTTCTAGCTGGCAGTGCTAGTGCGAGTACAGTACTACTATTAAGTACTATTGGCAGTGAGTGCTAAGGCCAGCAGTAGTTGATGTCATGATGAACAGTCAGTACACACAGCTACAGACAGTGCGCCGGAAACCTGTGTGTGTGTGTGAGCGACTCGAGTACTCGTACTGCTGATGTCATTTTTTGACTGAGTTGCGACTGCGTGCTGGTACTACCTACTGTACTACTAGTACTACATTACTAGTACTAGTACTAGGAAAGGGGAGCATTGCATGTAACATTGTTGCAGTCACTTGACTTGCTGAAGCCTGTAGACTGTCTGTACTGTAGTTGAGACCTTCCTCCAGTACTGAGTGTCGCCGCAATCTTCAGCTTTCTATTGTCGTTGA